ATATCCAATCACGATTTTGTAAATTGGCTTCAATATCTACTTCAAATACCATATGCCAAGTACACTAACTAACTAATAGTCGTATTATGACAGTTGTAATTTTTGTTGTTAAATTACTACATTTTGAAATTGACTCCGCTGCGCTGATGAGCCAAATTAATTTCTCTCTTCCATCTAGACTCTTCTACTAATCATTTTTTATTGAATCCTTATCATGTTATCAATTCAGAGTCTCTTATTTCTATCATTAAGAATTCAATTATAGATGCATCTTATCTTAGCATCTTGGCTAATTCATACTAACTATATTGCTTATGTTTGATTTTTTTGGGTTCCTCTAAGTTTTCCACAATCCAAGCAATAAAGATTGGACCAATTTTCCATTTATATAGCACCAGATATGTATAACATTTTTCATTATTTTTTTAGTATATGTAATTTTTAGTTTAATTACATTAATTTTGTATTATTTTGTGTCGGCTGACACTAGGCGATTTTAATTAAATAAATATAAAATTGCAGGTCGACATCTCTGCAGAGTTATAGAATTAGTGTAAGAAAAAATAAGTTACACAAATATATGATTTCATTCTTATTCGACATTGGCGTTTCAACTGCACTCAATGTTTAAATATGCAACCATTTAGTAAATCTAAATACTTTTTAAGTCGTACTCGTAAATCAAGTGTTAAACTTGAATTTTCTAACTAACAACTTTGCAACTTTTGCTATTTATTTTGAACTCTGAAACTAAAGTTGAAAGCTACTTTAAGTAGTTGTCAGATAACCAAAAGCCAAATGCTTGCAGGTAATTGGAGCAAGCGAATTCTAGGATAACTAAATTTACACACATGTGTGTGTATATATATATATAGTATATATAGTATGCTCTTTCAACAATTAACCAAGCTATAAGTTGTGTGTCTTTTGGTAAAATGTAGAATAGATTAAATCAATCTTTAGCGGCACTTTAAGAACGCACGGTAAATCAAACGAACTCAATAAACACTTTTCACATATGCTTCGCTTTTTTATGGGCTGCCCCCTAAAACCCCACCACCTCACGAGCTCGGGACTCCCACAACGCATTTACTGGTCTCCCCCGGCGACATTTAAGCGACAGCCGCGCGACACAAGAACACAGACAAACTGGCAAACTGACAGTTAAATGACAACACGGAGCAACAAGAGCAGCATGCAACAGCCAACAGTGGGGCAGACCCACTCGACACCATCCGCCACTGCTCCCACAACATTTTTTTTGCCTAGCTACTTTTTTATTATGCATCGTGTCAGATTTTTGTGCAGTGACTTTGATTTTCAGACAACACGTCGGATGCGCAACATAGCTCGGTGATATTCCCTTGTGAAAAACGTTTGCTGATTTAAGGATAAGGCGGATTCAAGTCAGTTCATTAATTTTGCTTGCCTAATTAACGATTGGCAAACGATACAGTCACGTATCCGACTTAGTCAACGTGCTTGCCAAGTTATTGATTTGGCTTGCCACGTTTGCACTTGAAAAACTAAGGGAAACCATGCACTGCAGCCTGACAAATTGTTGGCTCTTTAGTGGGCGGTCATTTGCATAATTTCACCTTGGCATCCTTGAGATGGGCACGAAGCCAAGTCAGGTGGCTCTGTTAGTCACCTTGAACCGGTTGAATGCTGAAGCTACAATCATTTATCAAATGAAAAGCCCTTTTGTGTTTTGTGCTAGAGAAAAGTGTCACTTAAAACGTTAACCTTGCCCATGCCGCTTATCTGGCCGGTTACATGTGACGTATACGTAATTTCCTGAAGCACATGATTAACGAGTCGAGTGCAAGATGGACGACGACGCCGTCTTGGCTTCTTGACATTGAAATAAAGAGTTGAATATCGGCTTCAGCAGGCAACTGCATAGACTTCACTGAGTTTGAGGGCTTTCACTTAGGATCTCCCTGGACCTGAGATATTATCGAGGTGATATTAAAATCGTCGGAGAAAAATTCTACAACCTTCTACAAGCGATATATATATATATATATATATGTATTTCTTTCCAGTATTTTTAGATAATTTTTCATATACGCTTATACGTATTTCAGTATACACAAAGATTATTAAAATTGTAAAAATTAATCTCAAACGATAAGTGTTTTATTTCGAGAAATTAGAATAAATAGAAAAAACAATTCAAATTGATTAAAGGTATAATTTCAAAAAATTAAAAAAAGAAAGTTAATTGGTTAGAGGTAAAATCTAGGACTTCGTAACCAGCTTTTTGATAACTTTATTTTATTATAAATAATCAAACAAAGTTATTTTTGACAAGCGTATAATTATATAATTGAGAATTGAAGCATTTATTTAGCCCATGATACAACCCCAGATTAAATATTGCAATATATAGAATATTTGATATAATCTTTCAATACAAGCGATTTTTAAAGTAGTATATTGAACTAATCATTCGACAAATCGCTAATTGTTATCTGTGCGTACAAAGGGGCCAGAGTAAAACAATCTGCACGAGTAATTCATTTAAGGGAATCCCGCAGACTTTGTCGTTCATCACTATCAATTTCAATGCACTAAATTAGCGAATTTTTGTTGTGTTCCTTCCTTGTTAATTGATTTCATCGTTCGGCGCTGTTTTACAGCATGCAAGGGAATAGCAATAAAATATTCAGCTGCAACGGCTTGACTGTCAGACAGGGAGCGAAAAGCTAACAGGGCCGTGAATACCCAATTTAGCCATGAAATTTATGCCACAGCACATAAAATGAACCGGCGAGGCCTTTTAAATTGCAACAACACGAACACGACAAAAGCCAGAGGGGGGAGGGGATAGAGGAGGGGGCAATGGCAAACGACAAACACAAACAATGGAGATAATTTAGTTGCCGCGGACAAAGCGAGGACAGACAACAGACTGAGATGCTAACTTGTTTAAAAATAGCAGCTGGTCAGCTGCAGAGCTGCAGAGCTGCTGAGCTGCAACCATTGGCCGCATACACGAATAACAGCAACGTTTAAATTATGCAGCCAAAACAAAACAGTACCCAAATACCTATATATATATATACTAGTCTATTCCATTGTCGGTTTTGTTGGCAAAGCGTCTGCGAAGCTGTTTGCTGTTTGCATTTGTCATTCAAAAAGTTGTGGCAAACACACAAAAATTAAGTTGACTTCGAAGTGGCTTTAATTCTCCAGTCGTGGCAAGTGCAGCTCATTTAAACACATGTCACAATACTTTCACACAGCTGTCACTTTGACAATTTTCTAGATGAGTTTCCTGCGATTCCAACACCCAGCACCACCCAACCCAAAAAAAAGAAAAAAAGACGAAAATAAAATAAAGATCTGAGCTAAGCTGCTGCCTTGCTTTGTCGCCTTGTGCGTAAGTTTGTCAACGTCATCATCATAATGCTGTATAAAGCACACACTCACACACACACACACTCAGACACACTCAGACACAGACCGCAAGGACATCTTGCCATCTTGCCAGCCTGTCTGCCTCTGACTTCTTGTGGCGGGTTTGTCGCCACTCATAATGAAAACTTACATCAATATTACGAGTATTAGAAAAATGTGGAAGCAGCTGCGCTTTTTGGCATCTTTTATATACATTTAAGTACATATGTACATACATATTTTATAGAGCTGTCCCATTTGTGCATAGCGTTAAAGTTATTGCAGAAATTATTCAAGCCTTGCGAATTTTATTGTGGATTATTCAAAATACAAATATATTATATGCTACTCATTTGGTTTTTGAGAACTCCATCTGTCTTGACACATATCCAATTGAAGAAGACTCCCATATCCTTAATAAATATATTTATTTATTTATACTTTTTAAATATTTATGTATATGAAGTATATGGCAAATATTAGTGCAAAAGCATTCAAATTTTAACAGCTTCAGTTTTTTCGATAACTCACCCAGCTTAAAATATTAATCGCCATCGATTTCGATTGAACCTTTTAAATCAACCTTTTACATTGTAATGGTCAACACGCAACTTAATAGTAATATATATAAATATAGAGTTGCAGCGCTAATCGTTTGCCGCAAGTTTGTCGCCTGCGCAGTAACGGAATAGTAAGCAAAGCAGTACATCTGAGCACGCGAAAAGCTGAGCTTCCAAAAAAATGAAACTTTTACGCAAACGGAGCATGCTCAATGTAAGCGATAGATCGCTTAAGGGAGCTTTCGCAACGCAGCCAGTCTCTGCTTGCATCCGGCGGCTTGAGCGAGCAAAACTGGGTACACAAGGGAGCTGATCGCAATAAATGGCGCCAATCGAAAGCTTTTGACTTGAATTAGATTGCAATGCTTACAGGTGCCAACAAAATTACATGCACACTTGACACTCGAAAAATAAAAACAATTTAAAGTCGAACATAGAAACAAATGTAACATTACAAAAATAATAAAAGAAAATAAATCTATAAATTCACTATTTAGCCATGGCACCTAGTAAATAAATAAAACAAAATTAATTATAATAAAAAAAATTACCCTCGGCAAAGAACAATTGAATATTTTCTTATATATTTTTTTTTAATTTGTTGTACTTCAACTATCTTATTCAATTAGGCTTCATTTTTTATAAAATCAAAAGAAAAAAATGTATAAATATATTAAGAAAACAAGACCAAACATTGTAAAAGCCGGGAAAATAATAATAAAATTATAAAAAAAAAAATTTATTAATAAAAATAAATAAATGATAAAAATATGGAAAAACAATTATTGATCCTCACAGCAACCAATCCTATTCCTCCCGAAAGAGCTAGGGTATCAAAGAGTCCCGACCTCCGCTGTGATTCTGTAGCTCCTTAGTAGGTTGTATTGGTTTTTTTTTTAATACCTACTAAAGCTAGTTAGGTAAAACATCAGTTATGACTTTGTTGACAGTTACAACATTTTGTGAACCTCAACTCGCAATTCTTGTATATTAAATACAATTTTAATCATTTAACGACATTCAATTTTGGTAATATAATACAATTTAGGAGCATAATAAATATAGTAAATTTGTATTTCTAGTTTCTTATCTTAACTAATCAAAAATAGCATTTCATCATCAACATTTTAAAATATGTAGCTGCAAAATGTCCACAATACCTTGCAAAGAAGGACGCTTTTTGGGATCTTTATCCCAGCACTTCTGTATTAGTGTCTGAATGTCATCGGGGCATTCGGCATCAGTTAGGTCCTTTAGAGGGGGCCTTAGATCTACACGTATTATTGTTAGTTATTATTATTTTTGTGATTTATTATGATTACTATACTTAGTATACATACCGTTCTCATCGATATCTCTTAAGAGCATAATATTATAAGATTTCTCGACTTGTTCCTCAAATGGTATCTTACGCACCAAAACTTCCCAGATCGTAATGCCCAAGCTGTACACATCAGATTTCTCAGTATATGCATAGCCATTGAAAATCTGTGCGTTGTAAACGATATTAAGTGACTTGAATTAAGCAACAATATTGAGATATATTACTTCTGGTGCCAAATACACGGGAATGCCCCCTTGTCTGCTCATTTCCGTTTGCACTTTTCGCACACAGCCAAAATCACAAATTTTAATTATTTTTCGTTCACCATCAAGTAACATATTTCCTGGTTGCACATCTCGATGGACTGCACCTCTTACTGAATTCGCACGCAAGTAGGCCACTGCCTATAAATAAAGTATGAGTCAGCATTTGCAATATATACATGAATATATATATACCTGTGCTGCTTGGTATAGCCAGTGAATACCTTCCCCAAGTGTATATTTAATATTCGTTTTTTCGTGCAAGAGCTCCGCCAGTGATCCACCCGCCATGTATTCCATAACCAAGTAGCTTTCATTGTCGAAGGTCGAAAAACCAAACAGTTTGACAATGTTCTCATGCCCATTGATATTTGCCAGACTGTCGGATTCCTTCTTAATTTGAGTGTCTATCTCAATATCACCTCTTATTTGCTTAATAGCTACTACATCGCCTTTATAAATGCCCTTCCAGACAACGCCAAAGCTTCCGTAGCCAATTTTCTACAAATTACATTCGCGTTACTTCAAATTAGTCAATTTAACATTTATTATGCATTTATATTCTTACGGCTGTGAAGGCAAGATCTTCATATTTAATATTCATCATTTTTCATCGAGATTCGAATGTCGACTGACTCACCGAATTGTTGCTTCAACATCTGGTTCGCATGAATTGAGTAGTATTTTTCCTCTGTTGTTCTCATTGTGTACGAATGAGACTCGCAATACATATATTTTACAATTACGAAATACAGATACGTGTATACACTGGCAGTTGTTCCATCGTGCCCATTATTGGAGGCACCAATATAGCGGCAAGTAAACACAAAAACCATTATCTCTATCAGTCTAGTCCGCCCGCTATTGGGTTGGCTGTGTGAACATTATGCAACCGTTAAGATTCTCTTTAAATTTTATTTGAGAAATTCGCTTTAATTTATTATTTAATTCTCGTTCGTCAACGACATCATTTCTGATTCGAAACTGGTTTCAGTCATTTAATAAATAATTTTTCATACTTATATTCTAAACAAAACTAAAATACGTTTTCTATACGACAACTTAATAACTCTTCATTTACGTGGTGATTATTTGTGTGTATATATATCATTATTTGTGTGTATATATATCATGCGCAAAACAAACAAAAGATAGTAGTATATGAGGGACAGAGTAGACAAGCTATGTAAACGAAAGACGAGCTTGCAATAACATACAATATTTAGAGATAAGCTTAATTTTTTTATATATTATATATATTTTTATATTTATATAATATACATTTATTTATACTGCCAGTTCTCACTCCTCTGTTGTTCTTTATTTATTTATATAAACTGCGTTTTGTGCACTGCGTCATATTTGTGGCTGATAACACAGATAACACAGATAAAACAAATTCTCTCTTTGAGATCATGTAAGTTATTTGAAGCTGATTGGGCCAACTTCTTGAATTGCCCACTAGGTGGCGTTGAGTACTCTACTATTCTGCCCGAAAGGTGGTGCTAACACATCCGTACCTAAACTTATCGATCTGTTCGCCGACCATTACACAACACACAACGATTCGTTTCTCTGGCAAATGTTTACATGAATCTGATAGCACTTTTGGCGAACATTTGCCAGATTTTCACCGAAATGTAACATATTTGTGGCATATTTTAAATTCATCGACGAATTAAATAGTCTGTACCCTGGAAATAAGAAATATATTAAGAAATATACAAAAAATAAAAGAAATATAACATTTCTCTAAATGGGAACAGTGTATTGCTCTTCAAAAATAACAAAAATGCGGTGTCATAAACCAAATTATAAGCCAAATACTTGGATTATACATATGTATCTGTTCAGAGACACTGTAATAGTCTGGTAGCGTAACATTTCATAAAGAGCAAACGCCGGAAATAAGAAGGATGCGCTTTGTCGCTACATTTTGGAGTCGTGTGTGTTTGTGACTTTCTAGGAAGTAAATTTCGTTATCGTTTATTATTATTATTATTCGCAATGTGTATGTATGTGTGTGTGTATGTATGTGCGCGCGTGCGTATGTGTGTGTGTGTGTGTGTGGTTGCGTGCGCTTCGTGCCTGTGTTGTGACGTGGGAAATAAATTTATATTCATAACACAGGACGAGGGCGATGTAAAAGACGTAGGTGGAGTCGAAGGCGCAGCGCCCACAATTCGACGACATGCATACAAAGTACTTTATGGGCATCACACGATGCTGAAGATGTTGTACCTCTCCAGCTCCAGCTCCAGCTCCATCTCCATCTCCAGCTCCTGTTACTACCTCTGTCAGATACGGCTCTAGCTTGTAGAATTTCATCAACTGGGAAGATTTTTGATTAAACTGAAGTGGATAGAGTCGGTGGTTATTTCCACGCCGTAGACTTATTAAAGCTCTTATTCCAGAGTAGCATGTGCAGTTAATGGGATCAGCATTGACAAGTGCACCAGCTAACAAACTGTATATGTGGACACAAATATTGATTACTAATTTACCTGCCGGTTAAGTTAGAAGCTTTTGATCAAAACTTCAAATATCACGTCTACTCGAATGCAGGTAACTCAATTGCTAATGATGCTAAAAGTTAAAGCCTGCGTCCAGATAAACATGTCCGTTGCAGTTGGCTTTCCCCCATAGCAACTTCGTCTTCATATAAAATGTACAAAGCGTCGGTGCAAAAGTCATTTTGGGATAGCAAGCACCAAGTTCTCGCAGGCACATGCAAACCCAATACGAAGTTCCACTCAAAGTCACTCATGCATAAAGTCAAACGGCAAGTGAAGAACCTCTAAGCTCGAACCTCGAACCTCGACGCTCGAACATCGAATGTGGAGCGACAGTCGCACAACAATCAAAAAGCGTATGGAAGTCAAAGGCGCCACAGGGCACAGGACCAGGCAGCCAGACATCCAGTCATCCAACTGGCAACTGGCAACTGTGCGCCTAAACCTGGTCCCATCAATGACTGGCATTGGGCTTGGGTTCGATGCAATGCAATAACTTGCCAAACTGACGCCATATCCTTGGGGCCCATTTTTTGAATGCGGCACATATGTGCTCGAAAATAGTTTCATTTTTTTTTTTTTTGGATTTGTATCTGTATTAGGAAAGGAAACTTAACGCACGACTTCTCATCATGTGTTTAAATAACACAGTCAGCGAAATATTTGGGTACATTTCCTACAGATAAGCACAACATCTGTAGGAAACTGATAAGAGTATTACTAAAGTCAGAAATAAATTGACCATTAATTATTACATTGAGAAAAGAAACACTAATGAAAATAAAGCAACTTTATTTTATTTAAATTCTTTTTTTGTCATTCATGCTTATTCTAAAAATCATTTCGCTGTCTGTACTTAGAGTCTCAGTGGCAGCAGGGCAATATCATGGGCAAATCGAGCAAATTGCATATGTCTTACGCTGGCGATTAATATTTTATGCGATATGCAAACAGGAAGAGAGAGAGAGAGAGAGAGAGAGAAACAGAGAGATAGAAATATAGAGCCGTATACACTGCAACTCGTGCACCAATTCGGGGCACTTCCATAGGTTTGCACTTGGCGCATTTTTGCTTTCAGCGCCGTTGCAAGTGTGTGACTTTTAAATTTCCCCAGTTGAAGCAGCAGTTCAGCTTCAACAGAAGTAGAGCCAGATGCAGCAGCAGAAGCAGAAGCAGCAGCAGCAGCAGCGCTTGATTGAGCGCACGTTCTGCCGGCTTTGAGGTGGACTGTCAGACAGTCAGCGCTTCACTTGACTTTTTATTTAAAATACACAGACTATGATATAGTGGAGTCGCACCACTCGAAATTAAACAAAAAAGGCAACGGCTAACTCATTTTATTTCCCAAGTGCCACAAGAAGACTTGGCGCAAATTTCGTTTGGTTTTCGAGTCCTGCCTGATGATGGCAGCTTGTACGTGTTTTGATCAATATTTATATATATCTATATACATATATTTATATATATATAGATATAGTTTGTCAGCTTACCATGCTAGTGCGAATATGGTGTTAAATTTTCTGATGACTATCAAGACCATTCGAATTTCTGGCTCCTCGCAACGCTAGTTGCTCTATGCATAGATAAATAGATAAATTTCGTTGTTTTGTTGGCATTAAAGTTAGTTTCATTGAAAACGGCTTGTGCCCGACAACCCATCACAATTTTTGCATGTCATCTCATGAGTATGTAAATTTTTAGCTATTTTCTCCCTTTATCTACACTCCTCACTTTCGCTGTCTCTCTGTTTCCTTCTATCTCCAAACAAAATACAGTATTAATGTGGAAAAGTATAGCGTTGATTTCACATGTCTCTCTGGACGCACTTGGGCACAAGTGACAGAACCCTCCACCATGTGGAGGAGTTGAAAAATGTTGCAAAGATGCAAAACAACTGTTGGCAGTTGGCAGTTTGTCAAATTTGATTTGTCATACATCAAATGACTTTAAAATGACATGAAACACGAGCTGTCAGCCAAACGGCTCTGGCTGACTCTCGAAAAGAGAGCTGGTCCCGCAAATAGATATCAACTGAGGTATGTAAAAATATGTGGTGTGAAAAAAGACCCCAACGCATTATTACAGAAGCAAAATGAAACGAACAAATGCAAATCAGATTCCTTTAGAGCAGAAGTATGTATGCATTATAAGTAAAACATAATTGAGTCTTCTTTAAAGATATCAAGTTCTATTACAAAGGAGGGGAAGGCAGTATACAGACAACTCGTGGTGAATAATAGCTTTTGGTCATTTTCAAATTAAAATTTAGTAGATAAGTCAAGTTGAATGGATTATAATAAGTGGAAATAACTAAATAAATTGGGATTGATTGTAGAATAATGAAGGCTCTACTTGACTGTTAGGTTGGATTATCATAACAAACTTATCATGATTCTTCACTTAGGTCGGATGACTCGGTGAGCTTAGGAAGTCGGTCAAGTGAATCTAAAATCGAACTTCAATATTCTAGTCTGAGCTTGGCCAGAGAAAACTCCACAATGTCCTGTTTGTTTATCAGTTATTCCAGTACTTTCGATGTCACCGCGTTTAGATTTGTGCTTAAGTGAAACAATTTGGACATTGTATAGTTTCTCAAACGTGGTACAAAATTGGTTTTTGTTTTGATAACCAAAGTGCCTTCTTAGTTTTAACGTCATTCTCGATTTCTAATGAGATATTGGCCAGTTCTGTGTTCTCTCTCCCTAGGTCTAGGGAGTCAGGTGAAACACAATACTTAATGCATTCAGGCTTAGACCGTTATTTGCTCCCAGTGAAGGAACAAAACTCAAACAAAGTAAATAAAATAGGTCTCAAATCCTGTGTACTGCCAGTTAACTGCATAAATAATTTAATTTAATTCCTTTTTTTTTGTATTTCTGTGTCGATAATTATTAATCGATAATAAATAAATAAATGAGTATAATATAATAATAATAGTTTCTTTCTTCAGTTTATTGTCCGCGACTCCGATATTATTTTTTCTACAATTTATCATATATTTTCCTTATTTAATTCTTATTCCTCTGCATAGGACAAGAAGACACCTGTCCATTTATACAGTTGAAGGCATAAAGCGCTCCTCAACAACGCCCCAGCTTAGATTGCTTTAATTAGATGACCGTGGAGCTGTAAGTCTATTTGTAACTTAAACTGCAAATATGCACTAGATAGGCACTCCATCATTTTCATTGGCATGATGAGGCATACATTAAGTGAGGTACAAACGCAAAATGTCGCTGCTTCTGTGCACCTAAGTAGCCCATTCATTTACTTAATATTGTAATATAAATTTAACGCACTTCATCATAAGTGCAGCACTCGAAAGAGCTAGCAGGGTCGAGGGGCGACATGGTGGAACGTGGCTGGAATCCCGTCAGGAACTGACGCCAGTCAGGCAAACACTTTGGGCCAACTAAGCCGGCCGCCTGCTGCTGGCTGCCTGCTGCTGGCTGCCTGCTGCCGGCTGCCGGCCGGACAAACACAAGTGCCTGTTTGAAGGACTTGAAATGAAACTCATTTGCCTCATTGGGCCTGGCCTGTGGGCTGGCAAATGCCACAGTTGGTTTCCAATCCGAACCCGTCTGCCTGGCTGGCATTTGTGCAGCGTGACACGCAAATTGCCAGGCTACACACACACGCACACACACAGGTACACACACGCACACACTCAGAGTGCAGCGTGTTAAAGTTTGCCTGCGACAAGTCAAGTGGGAGCATAATGGACTCAGACAGGGCAGACACTCATTTGTAGCTGTTCGAAGCGAACTCTCGGGCCTAGGACAAGGGACCTGGGACCTGGAACATGGAACATGGGACCGGGGACCTGTGACCTGTGACCATGACTAATTTGTTAGCAATTATGTCGGATTGACGTCGCCGGAATGGGCCACATTAGCATTATTGTTGTTTTAAGAGACCGTTCACAGGTGTGCATTTTTGTGAAATTACTCGTGACTACTGAGTGCGTCTCGTTATTCTTCTCTCTTATTCGCAAATTAAAAATTTCTAAAATATTGTGAATAAATCAGGCAAAAAGTTCTCAAACTGAGATTCCTAATGGATGTGACTCGAAAAGGATTTGGTAATAATAATTGAAGAGAGTTGCCAGTAATTTATCTCGCAAATAAATAGAATCGATCAATCTGAAGGACTGTCGTCTCATCTTATTTTAGGTAGGCGTCTTAAAATATATTAGTTTTAATTTTCAATAATAATAAATTAATTATTTTGAAATCTATCGGATTTGAACGATTGCTCACAATGCGATCCGCTTGTGAAAAAAAATGCGATCCGCTTGTGAAAAAAAAAAATATTACCCAAAAATGCCTCTGCTCAAATATTTTATATTCTTCCCTAACAAGAAAGATATTATATATTCATGTCTCTAGTAAATACACTAACATTCGATCTATATACAGCTATATATGACTAGGCAGACTATGCTATTTGCGAACAATGCAAGATAATTTTTTGTCACAGATATATTTTACGAGAAATTCCCTAGGATAAAATTTTTTTTTTTTTTTGCAACTGATGCCACACCAGTAAAAAACTCAACATAACTGCACAGTTGAAGTGACACTAATAACTCTAAGGCTATATTAGAGTTGCATCATATTTAAATAAACTGTCTATTTAAATAGCACAGACTTGCGTAGAAAAGTTGTTGCGTTTTGGGCAACTTGCAGACTTGCAAACTAGTTTACCTTAGCTTGAACAACTTAATCACTTGAACAACTAACTACCGAAAAGAGACTCGCACAAGGTTTTAGCTGTAAAGTCAAACAAACATAAAACCGCAGCTAGTTTTGGGTTTCCTGGTTCAGAGTTAATGAAACCAGACGCAGACAGACTCAGAGAAAGAGCCGTGGAGACGTTGGGATGGATACAAACATACAAACATGGTAACAAACCGCAGCTCTGCATGTTTTACAATTTGCACTTAATTGTTTAGCTCGACAACAGCAACAACAACAGCAACAACAACAATTACGAGACAACTGACAACAGCAACAACAGCAATTATACTGCACATTTACAAGCGTATTATAATTAATTTATGTGAAGTGTTTGGGGAACTGCTTTAAGTGAGCTACTGGATGGTTTCCTCCTTGCTTGTTCCTCTTTGGCTGCTTACTTTTGGCCACTTCTGCCATCTTTTGCCTTTGTGGGAGTTGGTCATTTGACACGACCACTTAATTGCTTAGTAATTGAAGAGCATTGGTCGGTCACGTGGTCACTAAGAGCAATTAGTGTTGGTTAAGGTGAAATAAACATACTTAAACAGTAAAGCGGGAAGAATAGTTATCGATAACAAAGTATACTGGGCATAATGTGCCACTAATCTATATCAGAGATGTCTTCACATTACGTGAATTATGATACTTCCTGCAAGCAAAGAAAAAATAAAGCATTGAAACATGCCTTGGATTTAGAATCAAATTCAAAAAGTGTCAAATAAAAATTATGAAAAAAATATGTGGAAAATAGAACTCGACACACATGGCTAAATGACTAAGTTATACGATACATCAGAGATATCTTATAAGGATCCGCTATCATTCGATATACACCCTTGGAAGAAAGTAGCCTTTCAAGTTGCGTCTAGCAGCATTTCAAGCATCATTGAGGTATTCCTCATGTTGCCGCTGGACGTCGTTAAGACCCGGTTGCAGCTGCAAATGGTTAAAACAACGCAGGAGCCCACATCCTATAAGGGGTTTATTGATGCCCTCTTCAAGATATATCGGCAAGAGGGCTTAGCCGCCTACTGGAGAGGCATAGCACCAGTGATGGTGTCCGATACTCCCAAACGTGCCATCAAATTTCTAATTTTCGAACAATCGAAGCCGTACTTTCAATTCGGGGCACCGCAACCGACTGCATTGACTTATGCGCTGGCTGGTGGATTGGGAGGCACCACTGAGGTTCTGTTTCAGAATCCCTTTGAGGTGATCAAGGTCACCCAGCAGGCGAATCGAAAGAATCAGCTCAGCACAATTCGCTTGGCTCGCCATATCATCAAGAACGATGGCTTTGGGCTGCGTGGTCTCTACAAGGGCGTTACCACAACCATGGCCCGGAACTGCTTATTTCATATCATTTACTTCTCATTCTTTTTCACGGTTCGCGAGGCCATAGCACCCTCGCAGGATTCGACTTGTGAGTTCCTACGAAAGTTTTCCATCGCTTATGCGGCTGGAGCATTGGGTTGCATAAGCAGCCTTCCCCTCGATATGGCAAAGACGCGAATTCAGGGACCACAGCCGGTGGCTGGCGAGATCAAATACGCTTGGGCGTGGAAGACAATTGCAACTGTGTATAAGGAGGAGGGCTTCCAAGCCATCTACAAGGGAATGGTGCCGCAAATACTGCGAGTGGGCCCAGGTGGTGCCATTTTACTGCTGGGCTATGAGTATTTGTACGATTTCTTAATCACAAATTTTAGCTGATCTCGTTTTATAAATCAATAATCAATATTTGGACTCTATTCGATTGCATCAGTATTTATCTTTAAAATAATACAGTCTATGATATTTTTTTGTGTAACACTGGTAATAAACGTAGTTGCAGAAAAAACCAGTTATGAGCCCATATGCGGCGTCGAGATCTAAATAAATTCGATTAATCATATCTTAAACTCCGCACTAGACTCGTTTTCATTTCAAAAACACTGGAAACTAATACAACATTTATTTACTTATGAGAACGTGCCGATCTCAAGGTGTCTTCTTTGTCCGTTATCGATAAAAATCGGTTATCGATATATTTGTAAAAATAATGCTTTTAAATTCGGAGGCACTTCACATTCAGTGCTATTTAATATACAATTTTATTTAACATACAATTTTATGCCATGTCCACTACTGGGATAATTAATTATCAGCCACGCCCGACTTCAACATATTTACTTGCTTTTTTAAGAGCTTCTTTTCCATGTCTAAGAACTCTCTCGACTAAAGCTTTCTCACCTGTTTTTGTGTAAATGTTTGATGAGTGCATTTAGAGCCAAGGTGATATAATAATAGGCTCTCTTCGAATTGTTGCTCTGGCATTATAAATTTATGCTTTTCGTTGTGAATTTTGTACGTCCTGAAGAGATTTAACTTACTTATTGATTGTTCAATATGTTGTTTTCTTTCTATCTCACAATTGACACGCTGCTAAGAGAGCAATCCAAGTGCAATGATTAAGCAATTGAATGGCAAACAACAAATAATAACAACAATAATAACAACAAACACTTCAAGTTGGTAGACAATTAAACAAGCCGAGCACAAATCGAATCGCCGAGCAACAACAACAGGACCAAGGGCAACAATAACAGCAGCAGGAGTAGATCAAACTATAAATGTGTTTTGGCATTTCTGGGCAATGAAAATGTCTCCAGGGTCAATTTCAAATGCATTTGCATAGGCACACACATACAAACAAACACACACACACACACACAACTGCACACACACACACAGATAAAGCTATATATAGATTAGAGTAATTACGAGAACTGCCTCTGCATTGGAATGAAGTCGATGTTTGCTCTAAGGCATTTGACTGTGCTTGCGAATTGCGGCGAGATAGCAACAGAGAAAGAGACAGAGAACGAGAGATTTTTCGCTCAATATTGAGAGAGAAAGAGACAGACAGAGAGAGAGAGAGAGAGAGAGGGACTGATGTGGGAGTAATTGGCATTAAGAACATGATACCAGTTACATATGGCCATATGGTCATATGGCAAAATAAGCTTTTGATTTCATTTCATTACCCATTGCAATTTCAACTATGAATAATTGAAAATGTGAACTGCATACTTTAAGGCTCCGAATTGGGATTGCAATTGATGGCGATGTAGTTGTTGTTGTTGTTTTTGTTGTTGTTGTGTCTGTGCTTTTGACTAATTCAGCTGGAATATGCTTATTACACATTAAAACTAATTAAGCATGAAATTTCTGTTTGCCTTCTCCCTGCTCCCCTCAACAACTAAAGTTGCCAAATATTGTTATTTGTGTTTGATTGATGTCGGTTTTAAATTAACAGACATTTAACATGGTCAGTTGCGATTTGATAAATTTCACGCTAAATAGGTTAACAATTTAGGCTCATATGATTGCAACAGATTCACATTATCCAGTGAGTTCAATAGAAAAATGTGAATTTCAATATATGTAATCAGTTATGCATCTATGCAAAGCTAAACAAGCAAATAAGTGTGTTTATCTATTTAATACGTTTATAATAATTATCATAAAGCAATTAATCTAACAAATTATTAATATCCATCTAGATTAAACGCAGTTTCGCTTGCGATGTATTTATATGCCTCCGGCAACAAAATATATAAATATTTTATGATTGCTTATGTATATTTATTTAGAGATCTTATAGATACTTTTGATTGCTTCGACTCATCAAATTAATTTTACAGACTAATAAGGCACCTAAAGAAAAAGAAAAAAAGTTTGCGCATGCAGAATAAAATACATTTTATTTATTGAATATTGCAAGACTTGGCTTTCAGCGAAAACAGGTGATTATCTCACAAATTTGAATGAACTATTTTCGTGATTTATTTTTATCCACTTTTACCTCTTTTTTATTTTATTTATTTATTTATTTCGACTGATTTTTACATCAAAACCCAGCTTAAATTGAACAATAGCCACATGCTTAATCAATAAAAGCCCAATATATAATCAAAATGCGAATTTCAAAATTGCAATATCAAATTGACTGGGCAGAATTCGATTGTTGTCGTATTCCGTTGCAACTCTATCTGAGGCTATCAGTATTTGGGCGAGACTGTGTATTAATTGTTTACTTTTAGTGCTCTATGCGGCTGTCTAGCTAGTCAATAAAACATGAAATATTTCGAATATTTGAGCGTAAAAAAAAGAACCAAATGCCAACACTCGGCACTTCACATCACAAACAAAATAGATGGAATGGGAAGCAAAATATTCCAGTTGCTGGACACAACATTTTTTATCAGCAAATAGCGCCAAATTTCGTATACGTCATGTTATTGTTGTTGACTGCCAGTTGCTGTTGTGCTTGTCTAAATAAATTTTTTATTGACCATGGTTAACGCTTCAGTGAGCAATAAACAAACGGAGGGCAAGCAGCAGCACTGCGGGTGGCTGAGGAAATTTTTGGTTCACACTCAGTGTGAAAAGCACAAAAACCACATTGAGCATTTTCTGGACTCGGCAACTGCCAGCGTCTGTGTTGGCCAACGCCTCGAAGCATGCCACAAGTTATTTCACACAACATACACACATATATGCCGAGAGCAGTGGAGTGTACGTCATTGTGTTTGCGTGTGAATGAAATAAAATGCTCGAATTACACATGTTATACAATTGTTGGGCGAAAATATGATTAAGCTTTTGGGCAAGGAGGCCCAGAAGCCAATCCAATGCCCAATAACAAGCCGAAACCAAACGAACTCAATGTAAAATGCTCATTGCCAAAGCTGGTATTTGTGATTGTGATTGTGATTGTGCGTCTCTGATATGTGGAAGTATATCTTGGAATGTGGGCTTTCGTAAATTTATTTGCAAATCAATACTTGACGTATTTTAAAGATGCCTGGCAAAGTGAATTTTTCATTAATTAGTTATTTTCAGGCATTTAAGAACTTTTGGAAAATTAACGGCATGTATATTTAATATAATTGACAGCAATTCTTCTTTGTATCTTGAATTTGTAGTTAACTAAAAAGTATGTTTTTTAGAAATATATCTTTACCAAATTCCATTTTACAGCAAGTTTGTATCGCACGAAGCTTATTTTCAAACCATATGAAACATTAAAATTAAGCATGAACTTATAATAATAATAACGAAGATTAAATCATTGGGAAATTCATGACACGTTTCAGGTTTGCAAGTCGATATGGAGGTGTTACACGCATTTTATTTCTTTTGACTTGGCATTCATTTTATTTTTATTTTTATGAGGTCGTTGACTCTGCAACTTTAAAGCCGCCACGTAAAGTGCTACGAAAATGAAATGAAATTAATATGAAGTTTGACTTAACGCCTCATAAATCATTGTCCAATTTTCATGTCGCATACCCTGCAGCAGTCAGCAACAGCAGCAGCAGCAGCAGCAACAACAGGAACAGGAGCGGCAGGAGCAGGGCCAGGACAATCTTGTGCTGCTGTCCTGGCTGCCTGTAACACAAACACACTTAAAGTGATTGAAATATATGTGTGTACGGAGATATATGCGTGTAACATGGTGCTACATTGCAGGAAAATGCGACCATCATAATGTGGAAATATGTTTGTTTGTGTGTGTGCATATGTTTCTCTATATATAAAGTCGGGCCACATATTGGCCCAGAGCGAAGACCTCAACTGGAATGGTAACAGGACCGAAGACTGAAGACTTGCTCATTACACGCTTGTCACGTGCACATTTAACGATTCGCTGCACACACACATACACACACACACACACTCATACTCATAATTACACACACAGACATATACACATCCATAAACTAACACCCCAAGCATGACAGTCATTCATATTTATAATGTTGGTCAAAAAATTCACAGACAATGTCAAAAAACAAAAATGAAACACTGATGCATGACTCAATACATGCATGAAAGAATACCTTTTTTACGTATAACTTTTATTAGTTATTATTTTCTTAGTTGTTTAGTGTAATAAATAAAATGTATTAAAATCAAATATATTTCTATTAAATGTCTACATTTGTCGCTTTTACAATTGTATCGCCTGCAAATTTATATTTATATTGTTTGCAATATATAGAGCTCCCACACAATATCAAGTCTTTTTAATTTATTTTGCAAGTTATGCAAAAGTTTTCGTTTCGTTCCCAAACAATATTAAACAGAAGCCGACTCTATCCTCTTGCAGCCAACCGAATAAAATTGAAGTCGCCGCAATTTATTTTTATCCCATTTAAATGCAAAAAATGCTCGAATAAATAAACTTAAAGTCGAAATTTTTCTTTTATCGTAAAAGACTCGGATATAGTTGCATTACATTTCAGGAAAGGATTTCTGGCTTTAACAAAAAATAAAAAATAAATAAAAATATTTTGTAAAAAATAATAAATAAAAATTATTTTATTTAATTCTATATAAACAACTACCCAAGAAATTCATGGATAAGCAGGATACCATTACTACATATATAAATTAAATTTTAATCAAGCAGATATCAAGAGTGCATGACTAAGAGATACCCTGCACTGGAAAATTCATTAAACAAGAAAACAACATTTGTATTTCATTCGGGAATTCTAGTCTCGTTGGTTTGACTCTAAAATTGTGGAAATTTTGTTGTAAGATCAAATATGATGCCCTTAAAGTACTCGCGTTCCCCAGAGAATGTCCCAAGACAACATTTAGTTTCAATTTAATGCTTAAAATTGGATATGCTTGGTGCCCAAGTTCACAGTACACCGTTGAGGGGCATTAAACTGGCGCTGACCACATACACCACATG